TATGGTATGGTTGTTTGTTAAAGTACAACTTATTAAACACCGAGTATGGTATGGTATGGTTGTTTGTTAAAGTACAACTTATTAAACACCGAGTATGGTATGGTATGGTTGTTTGTTAAAGTACAACTTATTAAACACCGAGTATGGTATGGTATGGTTGTTTGTTAAAGTACAACTTATTAAACACCGAGTATGGTATGGTATTGTTGTTTGTTAAAGTACAACTTATTAAACACCGAGTATGGTATGGTATTGTTGTTTGTTAAAGTACAACTTATTAAACACCGAGTATGGTATGGTATTGTTGTTTGTTAAAGTACAACTTATTAAACACCGAGTATGGGATGATATTGTTGTTGCTCTAACTATAACTATGTTTTGTCGTATTTTTTCAGCCTTGGGAGCCTCATTGTTTTTATCCGGATTTTCCGCATGACGTCATTTGTGGAGATTCATGGGGTAAAAGGGGGTTGCTTTTTTTTCATTATTATGCTAATTGTAGATAGAATTTACTTCATAAAAATATTTGCATCTTCAGAATGATGGCAAACCTTTATTATTTAACTCATTAACTAAATTGAGGTTTTTAAAAATAAACATATGAACTTTTGAAAACATATTTCTCCAAATTTAACTTCTTTATCTTCGTAAATCTCAAAAGTAATATTTGTTATTTTTGTTTCAATATTTTAGCCCCTCTGATTTATGTGTTCACAGCGTTTATTTACAATTAAAACGGTTGATCAATTATATAGCGTTAAATTTCTACAAATTATTCTAAGAATTTATACTCTTGTATGTAGGATTTATTTTGTGTAACATGTGGATCAAGCTGTTTTTACACGTTAATTCTGTTTTCAGGAGAAAACAAATTAATTATAGCTGTTTTAACACGTTAATTCTGTTTTCAGGAAAATAATAATTATAGCTGTTTTTACACGTTAATTCTGTTTTCAGGAAAATAATAATTATAGCTGTTTTTACACGTTAATTCTGTTTTCAGGAGAATAATAATTATAGCTTTTTTTACACGTTAATTTCTATTTTCAAGAGAAAACAAATTAATTACAGCTATTCTTTACACGTTAATTTCTATTTTCAGAAGAAAAATTAATTATAGCTATTTTTTACACGTTAATTTCTATTTTCAGGAAAAAATAATTATAGCTATTTTTTACACGTTAATTTCTATTTTCAGGAAAAAATAATTATAGCTATTTTTACACGTTAATTTCTATTTTCAGGAGAAAACAAATTAATTATAGCTACCGAAGGAGGTGTCTTCTTAATCGAAGGTACAATTCATATATTTTTGCTAATAGTCTGTAATAAAATTAAAGACTGATAGTTTTATTATTCGTATCGGTGTTCAAATCAAATTATGATAACCTGTTTTTTCAACGAAATATAATTTAATTAGCTATAGATTAAGAAAGGAATACTATAAAATTCTAACTGACAAATAATGACTTCTTTTTAATTTAAAAGAAAACCGTAACGAACTGGTTTAGTATATAGTATAACGTAATTTTAATTTTCTTTACTTAATATAAAATTAGCTCGAGATATGATGTAATTTCTATTGTAATTATAATGTTGTCATATACTTCTAACAGAGGGCGCAACCCATCGAATGATATTTGACCGATCAGTGCAAGCTAAACAACTGAGCGTTGTGGAAGCACATGCAATCCTCCTGCTTAGAGTAGATAAAGGTATTTCTGTGCCTTCTATTCAAATTAAAATAACTTTCATAATTCCGAAGAGTTTAATGAGATTATTTCCATGCAAAGGTGATTCATTGTAAGGACAATTGGGTAAAAAACACCTCCAAGCAAGAACATAAATATTATGTTATTTGCAAGTAAACTAAAACGTAAGTTTGTACTCGCAACACTAGGAGCATGTGGTAAAACAAGTAATTTTGTACTCTCAACACTAGGAGCATGTGACAAAACAAGTAATTTTGTACTCTCAACACTAGGAGCATGTGATAAAACAAGTAATTTTGTACTCTCAACACTAGGAGCATGGGATAAAACAAGTAAATTTGTACTCTCAACACTAGGAGCATGGGATAATGATGACATGCAATCTCAGTTTTTCACTTTTTTTCAATTTATATAACCGTTTTTATCTATTTTAATTCATGTCTTTATTTTTACTTTTCTTCAATAGAGGGCGCGATTAGTTCCATAGTTTGGAAATTGTATTTCTTTTTTGAAGTGTTAACACATCTAGTTCATTTAATATCAATGGCTTAATTGAAAAACCTCAAATGCCTCGTCTAGGACGTGACAGTAAGATCCATGTATTCAGACTTTCGGACTTTCTAAGAGAACAAAACGACCAAAATATCCTAGGAAAACTGGACATCAAGGAACACAAGCTGGAGAGAACAAGAGGTGTAGTATTGTTTGGGTTTATAACTACCCTGTGTGACTGTCGTCTTGTATACGTATTTTACTGTATACGTTCCAACACAAGTCAATAGTATGTAAGAAATAGCAGGAGATTTCAACCACTACTCTTAAGTCCGTGGTGTGCAAACTGAGGGGGTCTTCCCCAAGGGAAAGAGAAGAGTGGTTAGGGCAGGTGTGAAACTATGATTATAATAAAGTAATAAAGAAACAACAGTTAACATAGGGAATACGACGTATGTAGTATACGCACAAAGGAGTTATACGGAGTACAGGGGGGCGCAACAAAACGCATGTTTAGAGGGGGGGGAACACAAAAAAAATGTTTATGCACCACTGTTCTAAGCCATTGGTTAACCTGTGAAAAAAATTACAAACTATTATTGATATCTAACCTATAAACACTAATTTATTTACCCTTATTTTTGTGCTTTCTTAAAATATTTTACTGTAGTGTGTGTGCATTCTGTTCTGTTTGTTTTGTTTTTAGTTATATAACACTTGGACTTAAAAAAACGGAATAAATGTTAGTTGATAAATAAAAGTTAAACTTAAGCTATTAACCCGCAATCTGAATAAATGTTAGTTGATAAATAAAAGTTAAACTTAAACTATTAACCCGCAATCTGAATAAATGTTAGTTGATAAATAAAAGTTAAACTTAAGCTATTAACCCCTCAATCTGAATAAATGTTAGTTGATAAATAAAAGTTAAACTTAAGCTATTAACCCGCAATCTGAATAAATGTTAGTTGATAAATAAAAGTGAAACTTAAGCTATTAACCCGCAATCTGAGGGTCGCGGGTTCGAATCCCCGTCACACCAAACATGATCGCCCTTTCAGCCGTGGAGGCGTTATAATGTGACGGTCAATCCCACTATTCGTTGCTAAGAGAGTAGCCCAAGAGTTGGCGGTGGGTGGTGATGACTGCTAAAAATAGGGACGGCTAGCGCAGATATCCCTCGTGTAGCTTTGCACGAAATTTCAAAAACAAACAAGCTTAAGCAATTAAACTAACGTATTGCGAAGTTCTTCACGTTATCAATTCTCAATTTTGTCTCCTTGTGTAGATTTACACACGTACTTGTAAACTAATTAGAACTAGAAGCATTTTCTAACGATTTTCCGTTATTTTTATTGAATATTTTCTTTCCCTGATGCTAAGAATAAACCAAATTTAGTCATAGTCGTTATCAGTATTTTTGTTTTGGCATGAAACACAGTGCAAGTAAACTTAGTAATTAGTGTGATCATTGAGAACTGTGTTGTATTCAATAAAATATGTGTGTATGTGTTACGTAACGCGATAGATGTCGCTAGTTGTTGGTACGCTTCCAGCCTAATTTTTTATATAACTCACTCACTTTCAACATCTATGTCTGTAGGTTGTCATCTCTATGCTCTGAGTAGACCGGGTGGAAGTCACCTCCGGGTAGTAGTAGCGGTCAATAAGAAGTTACTGGTTATGCAGTGGCGCCACTCTGCGGCGTGGACAGCCTGGTGCGTGTCTGCTGACACTGATACAGTGGAAGGGTTTCAATTCATTCGAGTACGTTTGTTTGTTTTCCATCCCTTTACCACCGTTGATAAAGAAGATAATTAAATTATCTTATTTTTATTACGTACCTGCCCACCACATTACTCGAATATATGCAAAAATTGTTTTCAATTTTCAGAATTATCTAGTAGAAATAAAACGCCAGTGGCACAGCGGTATGTCTGCGGACTTACAACGCTAGAATTCGGGTTTCGATACCCGTGGTGGACAGAGCGCAGATAGCCCATTGTGTAGCTTTGTGCTTAATTACGAACAAACAGAAATAAAACGCAGTCCTAACAAGACACTTTTGTAAACTCTGTGAATACAGTGGCATTGTTACTTAATCGTAGGCCCGGCATGGCCAGGTGGTTAAGG